GACATTAGGAAGCATTTCTTTACCGAGAGGGTGGTCAAACACTGGAACAGGCTTCCTAAAGAGGTGGTTGATGCCCCATGCCTGTCAGTGTTTAAGAGGCATTTGGACAATGCCCTTAGTAACATGCTTTAACTTTTGGTCATCCCTGAAGTGGTCAGGCAGTTGGACTAGATGATCGTTGTAGGTCCCTTCCAACTGAAATAGACTATTCTATTCTTGGCATGTGAAGCCTCTGGTCACATGGTCTAGGAGTTGGGTATATGCCCAACATCTGTTGGGGGGGGGTGTGGTTATATTTTTGGTTATGTGACACATGCTTGTCTACTGGTTATCTCGCCCACTTCTTTCTGATCACTGAGGGCCTCAGCAAGCATATAAAGCAGCAAGAGGCACCGAAAACTTCACATCTGTAACAAAGTAGGTTGCTTTTTAAAAAGCAAAAACGACAACAAAAAAAAGCCTAAACAGCTGACATGACGTGTCTGAAAGGACTGAGCTAAAGAACTGCCTGAATCACTGATGTGCTGAGGTTCAAGCAGTGTCCCATCAAACTCATCCTATAGCTATCCATGTCTTAGCACAGAAAGTAATAAAAACCATGTCAGTTTTCTTTCAACATCTGTTCCTACTGCATTAAATTTTATGTCAGAAGATGCAGTAACTGAGATGTCCTTAATTATGTTGCTTCATTTTGGGGTTAGAAGAAAGGGATTAACTGAATCAAAGCAAAGTTCAGGGTTACTGTCTTTTGAGAGAATATAGTTATTTTGTCTGAAAATGCCTTTGCATCCTGTCTAGTTTCTTTTTTCTGACAGTTTCATTTGGATTTCTCATGTTCTTTTTCTTCCTCAGTAAGACAAATTCTGACCTTATGTTGCCAGTCTCCTGAACTCTTCCCAAGAAATTAGGAGATTCAGCTGTTTGCTGATGCAAGCTTATTTACAGATGTAGCCTACCTAGTATTTGTTTCTCCTCTTGTTTCTTGGGAGGCCACTAATGCTTGGATAATGTCAGATTTGTGTTTCCAGTCATTCAACAAGAATTGAAACGTTCCTGTTTTAAACCTACTGGGATGTAGGTTCTAATTCTGATGATATCTTACCTGCTTTTTCTTTACCAGCTTTTCTTCTTCTTGCAGATTCGATGGAAATACATGATAGTAGATGAAGGTCATCGAATGAAGAACCATCACTGCAAGCTAACTCAGGTCTTGAACACTCATTATGTGGCCCCTAGGAGGATACTGTTGACCGGGACTCCACTTCAGAACAAATTGCCTGAACTCTGGGCTCTTCTCAACTTCCTCCTCCCTACCATTTTCAAGAGCTGCAGCACCTTTGAACAGTGGTTCAATGCTCCATTTGCCATGACTGGAGAAAGGGTACTGCAAAGTTTGCTTAAAGTTTGTTAGAAACAAACCATTAGGATGGAAACAAAATGGAGGCCATGTTATAGGAATAATCTTTGAACTCTCCTTTGTGCTCAGAGAATTAGCATACTTAAAAGCCACCTTTATTACAGATTTAAAAGTCTTCATTAAAGTGTCTCCTTCTGGACTCTGAGTCAATTTAGTTGTAACATAACAAGTAATTATTGCAAACATTTATGAGAAATAATCTTTTACCTAATCACAAAGACATTACATAACACACTGAGTTGCCTTGTTGTGACCTTTATAAACTTTTGTAGGTGGACTTAAATGAGGAAGAGACTATCCTGATCATCCGTCGTCTCCACAAAGTGCTCCGGCCCTTTTTGCTAAGGAGACTGAAAAAAGAGGTTGAGTCTCAACTGCCAGAAAAGGTTTGCAATAGAAAGGGGTTTTATACTTTTTTTTTGAGCACTATATAATATTGTTTTTTGAGATGCATCCTAGATAAGAGGACTTATTAAGTGTCCGTTGTTGTGGTTTGTGTTTTTAACTCTGCAAAGAAGAAATACTGGCCACTGAGGAATCCTGATTTCTGCATTCTCAGTCTTAATCCTCAGTCTTACAGCTTTAATTCTGTATGTAGCCACCCAAGGTTTATATAAGACATACAGCTTGTTTCCACAGTATTTGGTTTCAAGGCATTAATAAAAGCCAGTCATACCCTGAGGGTCAGATTGTGCCACTCTCTCATGCACTGAGAAGAAACTTTGCTTGCTGAATTGTTTCACTGAAACTCCTAAAAGACTGTGTGACATTCATAAATTTAGAACAATTTTAGTTAACTTTTCAGGAATCTGGAATTGTGTGAAGTATTTTGTTTGGCTTGTATATGTGTCTTAACCAGTTTGTGCATCTCAGAATGTAAAATTCAACACTGATTTGAAAGACCACTATTTTAATTTCCAGGCATCTCACTCTACCCACACCCCTGACCTCCTTTGTGATTTTGAGCCTCCTTCCCCTTTCGCCCTTCCCCCCAAACCCACAAAAACATAACGAAATAAGAAAATTGAAAGCAGGTTGGGGGGACATTTGATACTTAAACCTGCTGCGTTAAAACCATAACAAAAATCAAGTTATTGTTACGTGTGAATTGTGAGGTTGCATTTACACTGAATGAATGAAGATTTCTTTAGCTGCATTTAAAAGATTTCTAATTAAACACCTAAAAATTTTGAATGTTATGAAGATTGTTGCTATTTTGATCTTCTGTTCCCCCAAATGTCATATTCACAATAGCGTTCTATGTAGCATTTATTTGAGCTTGAAACATAGATCTGAAAATGTTGTCTGACATTGTACCAGGAAAGTCTCATTACTGAAATTTTTATTGGATTTCAAATTTCTGCCAATTAGGGCCACTGTATTTGATAGAACAATTAAGAGTCATGGGAGAAAAAGGATTTATAAATTGCATATGCACTGTTACTTAGTGGAGCACTTCTTTCATTTCTGTCCCCCTCTTTTCAAAACAATGCATGTCTGACATGAAGCACCAGACTTTTTGACAGAAGTCTGTTGGTGACAGTTCTAGCTGCTCTGACAGGCCCCTGATAAAGATGTTAAGTGGATGTTCATGTTTCTTACCTGTGAGATCATCCTCCTGTCCTTCTCAGATGAAAATAACCTATTGATTTTTTAGTCATAGAATCACAGAATCATAGAATCATAGAATCATTTAGGTTGGAAAAGACCCTTAAGATCATCAGGTCCAACCATTAACCTAACACTGCCAAATCCACCACTAAGCCATGTCCCTAAGCACCACATCTACCCCTCTTTTAAATACCTCCAGGGATGGGCACTCAACCACTTCCCTGG